TTCACTGGAGCTGCTGCCAAACTAGCCTTTGGAGAAGATAGTGAAGTTATAAAAAATAGTTTGGTATGTATTGCATGCTGGAATAGATTTTGTTATATTTTAACAGTCTTTTTAGTTGGTATTTCTAGGAATATTACATTTACAGTCACAGTGATAATTATGACATGTCCTTAGTGTTGTCAATGTTTTTTATTTTTTTTTCATTTGTTTTTTAATCCATGTTTTGTTTTGTTTCACTAGAATGCATCTGCACAGGCAATCTCAGGTACTGGAGCTCTTAGGATTGGAACAGCATTTCTGGTTAGTGAATTCAACTTCTTTTGTTTGACTTGCAAAATTAATGTTGTACAGTTGGTATTCAAAATGCATACGACTTGCCCATTTGTATGTGCTTATATACATAAGAATTTAATTAATTTCAGAATTACTTCAGTTTGATCCATTGTGGATATGTTTCTTTTTTAGAAAAGCTTTTTCCCTGGAAGTAAGGATGTCTGGTTGCCTACACCATCTTGGGGAAACCACACTCCAATCTTGAAGTATGTACAAGAAACTTTGGACACAGCCAAAATGCAATTGTTGATCAAATCCAAATTATTTATATTAATTTTTCACTGTTAAGAGAAACATATTGTGATATCAAATTTTAAGAAAGAAAATTATGTTTGTAAAAGTTAATAAGTGATACAAGCACTCTTGGAAAATGTAATTTCAGTGTGCTGTTTACTGGTGTCAGTCTTGTGGCCTTTGATCAGTTAAGTGGATGTGCTACAAAAATTGTAATGCTTGTTCACGTTTTTATTGTCAGTGATAGTTGTTACAAAATTTTTCATGGACATACTTCATATACATTAAATTTGTCTTCATAAGCTTTTTTTCTTAATTCATCAAATATGATAGCAGCAAGTACTTTTATTTAAGAATGAACATAAAATAATGATACCAAGTTACATGAAAAACCTTTCATGCCAATGAAATCTTACCAATTGATTCATGATATTTGACAGAATTTATATTATATTTGTATGTATTTGTTTCATGGCACACTGTCACTAACACCAACATTTTTGTTGCTCTGATTTGCAGACATTCAGGACTGGGAGTAAAACAATATCGGTACTATGATCCACAAACTTGTGGTTTTGACTTCAAAGGCTGTATAGAGGATATTGCAGTGAGTTTAAGAATGATTGACTTTAATTTACAAAAGTTTTACTTGTGGTTCAGTTCTCCAGTGGTTAGTGTTTTAATCACTAATTTCTGTTTTATAGAAAATTCCAGAAAATTCAGTGGTCATGTTACATGCATGTGCTCATAATCCAACAGGAGTGGATCCAAAGGTAATTAAAAAAAACCTAATTTTTTCAAACCTCCAGGGCTGTGATACGCTTGGAATGGTGTCTAGTCTTATTTAGTCACAATCATTTTTAAGTAGGCAGTCTTGATTTATCATTTCTGAACTATGATAGCTCAACAAAAGGGTTCATATACTGCTTTGCAGCATGAGAATTTTGCAGGGTTCAATTGCTCCAAAGTGTAGAGAAGGACCATGACTTGCAAAAGTAAGGTCACTGTAGTAAAAAATCCAACAAAATGAAGCACTGGAGTGTTTCAGTGGCAGATGCATTCATCATTTCCCAAATTAGGCAAGATATTCTACTATAGAATTCCCATCTGAATAACTTAGCAATGGCAAAAATGGCTCTTCCAGGTAACTAAACTGTAGATTTTGAGAAGGATAGGGGTTAATTCTGTCTCACTTTTTTCAGGAAGAGGAATGGAAAGAGTTATCAGATGTCATAAAGGTATTTACTTTTCCACCTAATTTGACATGAAAAGGCAGATATGTATAAAGTTTTAAAATTTAAAAGGTTAGGTAAGTAAGATTTCTTCTTGATGTTATCTAGTAATGTTTTTTTTTTTTATCTCTTCTCCAGAAAGGCAAACTATTTCCTTATTTTGACATGGCATACCAAGGTTTTGCCAGTGGAGACACTGACAAGGATGCATGGGCCCTGAGATACTTTATAAAGGAAGGACACAAAGTACTGGTAGCTCAGTCATTTGCCAAGAACATGGGTCTCTATGGTAGGCTTTTATAAGTCCCCTTTGCTTTTCCCTCACCTTGTCTTTTGATGATAAAAAATAGACCAGTAAAAAGAAGAGGCTTCACCTGCTGTTTCATGAAATTTTTTGTATTTGCAAAGCAAGGCCAAAATCTATTTTTACTTGTTGTCTTGAAGGAAAAAAACAATGCAACATTTTCTGTCCCTTCACTTTTTGCAATACTATTTCTATAACGTACCATAAATAAGTAATGGACAAGAGTTGAAACAAAAACCTCAATTCTTGAAAAAAAAAGGATGGAAATTTGTCTAGTAATTTCCCCATCTTGGAAAAAGTATGGAAAATGAGTTGTTGAAATGTGTTGAGAAAATGGAAAGAGGTCTTTCATTGTCTGATTTCTGAACCTGACTGGTTGAAAAAGTGGCATAAGTTTTCTACACCAATTACCAGAGCATAGTAGAGTGATACCAATGCAGTCCTGGATTTCTTTTGACACTCAATTGTGAATGGCTGTAATGTGCTAAGTTTTATGTTTTTCCTTTTCCTTGTTGCCCTCCTCAAGGTGAGAGAGTAGGAATGATCACAGCCACTTGTGAATCGAAAGAGGAGGCAGAGCGAGTCCTGTCACAGATCAAGATCCTTATCCGCCCCCTTTACTCCAACCCTCCAATCCATGGGGCCCGCATAGCAGGTACTGTCCTCAGTGACCCTGAACTGAGACCACAATGGGAGGTGGAAGTCAAAGGAATGGCCGACAGAATAATTTCCATGAGACAACAACTTGTAGATAACTTGAAGAAAGAAGGTATGAAACTCTACTGTAAAACAGCTGGTCGGATGTAGATTATACCCATCAACCCACCAAATCACCCAACCCCCCTCCCCCCCCTTCTCCCTTCAATAGAGAATCTTTTCTGGAAGCAATTAATGGTAAATTGAGTATTGACTCATTTTAATTAGTAATTGAACATAGTTAAGTGGAAAATGTGCTATTCCCTTAATCATCTGTTCATGACTTAACCCTTCAACTTTCTGAAGTGTTGAACATGTAATTACTCCTTATCCATACATTGCTCAGCAAAAAGGTCATGAAAATCATAAGTTGTTACCTTGATCTAACACCAAATTCTCACAAATGTTTTACAAGGAACTGTGTAGCAGCTAGAGGGGAGAATCAACAAATCAGATCTTGAGAGTCAGGGGGTTATAGCATTTACTGATGGTTCTTTATCTTAAATAATTTCCCGGTTAATATGAAAAAAAAATGCAATTACAGTATTAAATGATGATTATAACCACAAGTGATAAAATATAATGTTAAAATATCTCTCTTTTGTGCTGTTTCCTTTCCAGGTTCATCTCACAACTGGTCTCACATAACAGATCAGATTGGAATGTTTTGCTTCACAGGGCTTAAACCTGATCAGGTCTGTAAGCATACAATAATTAAAAAAAACAAAACAAAACAAGAAAAGAAACAAAATTCCCACATCAAAACACTTCAGTTTTTGATGTCTTTGGTTAACATGGCAATGTGTGATGCAATTTTGACCCATGGCCTCAACTGATAAAATCTGTAAATTGTGTCTTCTTCAGGTTGAAAGACTCACAAAAGAATTTTCAATCTATTTGACCAAGGATGGACGTATTTCGATCGCTGGTGTGACATCCGGAAATGTGGGGTACTTAGCTCAAGCAATGCATGAAGTAACAAAATGATGGACTCAAAATTCTAGTTACCTTTATTCTTTGCCTGACAATTATAAAAGTGCTGCCCAAGTTTCTACAGTATAATCAACATGGAAGTGTAACAACCTCTCAATGCAGTCAAAATTAATGTCAAAACCAAGACAATTTCAGCTATTTTCATTTATATTTATCACCTTTGAGGAGGTTGAGGATTCTGATTCCCCCCCCCCCCCCATAAGGCTCTGTCATATTCTTGTGACCCCTTCCCCTCCCTCGTTGGAGGTTAATTGGCAGTCAATTTTCTATAGTCCACCCTTTATGCTCTGTTATATTGTGCTACAACTAATCCCTCTCCGTTCCCCCTCAAAAACTATTCAATCCCCCCTGAGAAAAAAAATCCTTCAGCCCCCAGGCCATGAATAATGACTGGTTCCTCATAGTGCATCGCAAGCGGCTTACCCCAGTTGTGGACACCTTTTTGTCATTCTTAGGGTGTTTGGGTAAGAGAGCTGCCTGCAATTGAAGCTGGAGTATGTTCATCAAAACAATCTTTCTTGAAAGGTTTCGTTTGCAATTGAGTGTTTACAGTACTGCATCTCTGATGCGAGGGAAGGGAAGCCCAACTAGAGGGCAACAAAAATAAAATTTATGACTTGTAGCATGAACGGCCAGTTTTATTCTATTTTAGTTTATTATGCTATAGTTACCTAGTCTAAACCTGAAATAGATCTACAGCTTTCAGTATGAAGTAGGTTTTCAGAAAGAGCTTGAAGAGTGGAGAGTGAGCTTAACCGCGAGGGTTCTCCTTAACAAAATACGTTTTAGAAACGGCGCGATGATAAAGGAAAATTTCTTAGTTTGTCAGGAAGAAGCAATGACCAAAAGGAGTATGGTAATAAATATGTATTTGCAATAAAATGGGGAGTCTGAAGTGATACCTTAACCTGAAAAGCTTGAAAATTGGGTAAAGCTTGTATATTTTGTTTACCCATTTCAGGTCAAATGCAATACACTAGGGGACTGTTTCCCATATTCATGTGCTTATGTACGTATAATTTACAAAATAGGAAGTTGGGATTTCCTTTGAGACCATAACTGGGTAAACAAAATAAAAAAAGATACAGAGGTGTATTGGTCAACATTCTTACAATTTTCATGGTTACTGGATTTTGAAATTATTTTTTTTTTCGTGTAAACGGGCATTTGCAAGTATCACTAAGCATAGATTTCTAACAAAATTGGCATTTCTCGAAAAGATTCTGTTTCATGTCCTGTTGATCAGACAGGTACATTAATTTCAGTGGGATTTCAACGTCGACTCCATGCTCTCTGATCTAAGTTAATCTTTGTTTGCTACAGTCGTTGTTCTGTATCCTTCTATATTTCAAAATCAAACTCTAGTCCACTTCCTTGTAATTTTGCCAGCACCTCCTTCTCAAATCTCTCGTTCAACTCCGGAGTAAAGTAATTTTTCCAGTCACCGACCACGCCCTTCCGAAGAATCGGCACATTTCGGCCATCCCTGAATGGAACTGTAAGAACTGAATCACGGTCTTTCTTCATTGCGCTGAAGCTGCTTTGCTCAGCGATGCGACTGATAATATCATCAGTCAGTGGCCTGTTGAGGAAGTCTGCGATTGACCGAACATGGGAGAGTAGATCCTAAAAGACAAGGGGATTTGCTCTTTTGTATACGAACTTGTTCCTACTTTGCACGGTTAATGTTTGGTATTTAGCCAGCAGTAGGGCAAAAGTCTCTCCAAGGGTCAAAGAGATTAAACAGCACTTATGCTTTGAAATATCAGTATGAATGTTATAACCAACCAAAACCCATGAATTATCAATAATACGTGAAACCGGCGCTCCGAGAGGCCACCGTGAAGGTCTCTACCTTGGCGACCAAAGTAAAAGAATTGGCGACTAAATTTGGAGTGCAAGTCAGCAATTTGGCGGCCTGTGTTCAGCAGTCATGCAACAATTTGAGACGTTCTAATAACTCATTTTCACAATCTAAAGTCAAAGTGAGGTAAGCGTATTGGTGTTTTATTGTTCTGTTCTTTCTCGACGTTTCCAAAAACAATTCGTGCGGACAGCGGTTAAGTATGTCCTGTTGTATTGGGCAAAGTGTATTCTCTTATACTGGCGGTCATAGCCAGTTTGATTTACGGTCGCCAAATGGTGGGTTAACTGTCCTGTTGATTATGCCGAGGTCATTGCCTGTCGAAGTTACTTCGGGTGCAACATTTTTGTGTCGTTGGCAGATCGCCATCTTATTCTAAAAGGATATTAGATGAAATAATTCGCATATTTTTCAGAATTTCCAGGAACTGCTGTCGAGATTTATGAGGTAAAATTTGATTGGCTGGCGCTTATTGGTGGGAAAGAATAAACGTTGCACTCCGCGCCACTCGGGAGATTGACATGAACTGACACTTAACGTCAGTCTATTCTCGCCACCAGTCTACTGAATCAGATAATGAGGATAACTGACATGTTGATCGGTTGTGGAATTGAGGGGTTTCTTAAGACTACAACAAACCTTTTTTAGATCTTCATATTTAACAAACAAGATGTTAGCATCATCGTTGTGCTTCCACCAGTCCAGAACATGGTCATTCCAGTGGTTCCAGGGGACTTAAAAAATAGAAACAACCAACTTCGTTGAGTAGAAAGACATTTGTTCCTCTTAAACTGTTCCTCATTTGGTGGGGGTGGTTTTTAGATAAGAGAAGAGGATGTTTTGGGGGTGGAGAGGGGTGTGAGGAGAGGGCTTTTTGAAAGCTTACAGCTGTCGAATAAAATCAGAGAACAAAACAATCGGAAGATAGCAGAAATAAGGCTAAATGTATAATTTTCCCAACGTAAAGAACCTACCATTTCCTTCAACGAATAGTTTAGCAAAAAATTCCCACGGCCCATGCCACGATGATGAAATGCCTGACCAGAAAAAATAATAAGATACCACAACGTCCTTTGGATTTCGAGCAACGTAAATGTATTTGCACACCATGTCCTTGTTTGGTGATTTAGGGATCACATTGTAAGGTAGATGTGTCTTAAAAATCCTTGGACTTGGCAGGGCGCTGAGATCAGGCGTTGGGGAATTTGGTTGGTGTGAGTGTAGTGCTCTTTCCAGGAGGAAACCTCGTTTTTCTGACAGGTTGCCTTCATTGTAAATTTGCGAGACAATTTCTGCAAGCCAATTTGTCCCTGAAAAAGTAAATAACATCAAAAGCTTTGTGTTAGTTATAATATGTAAGGTGTATCGGGCAAAACCAAGAGATAGTATTATGACAAGATTTCAAAAAAGTGAAATATTGTTAAACCGACATAAATTGCAAGTTCCAGCGACCGTGATTTTGACCTTTAAGTCCTTATTATGTTGCCTACTAGCCCAGCGATGGCGAAGATGGGTGGTGGGGATTTAGCCACCCACCTGTTTGCAAGGACAAATTTTTTTTTTTTTGGTTTAGTATGAAGTACGTATGAAGAAGATAAGACAGAGGATGAGAAAGCGATAAAAAAAAGTTTGGTTCACTGCAGATTAATCCTCGAGATCACAACTTCAAAATTTTATAGGGGAGGTTGCCCCCCTCCCCACTTTTGTTTCAAAATTGGCTCACCCTGAGCCAGTGAGATTCTGTGGAGAGCAGAGCCATTACGAGATAGCCAGACTCCTGGGGTTCGCCCTGCTGATGGTTCGAAATTAAAGTTAATCTGTAAAAGACATCTACAGGGAAACGATTTTCGTTCGAGTTGACGCGAAAATCTGATCGGAAAGGGTACTATACCTAATTTTAACGGAGTCACAACAAATCTGCCTCTGGAGCTCGCTTGTCACTGCGTGCTACTGCAAAGGGTATGTTTTTTTAGCCATTTCAATTGCGGTTGAAGTATTTAACAGAAACAGATATAAGCAAGATTGATAACTACAAGAGAAAGAAATCAAAATGCTTCACTCGTTGTTGTTGCCTTGTTTCTAATCCAATTCGCGCATGAGAGACCGTGACGGAGACTACTTAATATGCGGCGCAATGAAGGCGAACATGTATGATCTGGTTCCCAACGGTCACGCAAATAACGCGAAGCTCCTGTGGCGAAAATGGAATCGTCTCTCCATTGACAGTATCGTTTGTTGATGAATAAAAAAGCCATTGTTTAAGAATTGGAAGAAAAATTAGTACCTTTTTAAATTGTATTCTTGTACCTAGCACATAGAAAGACATGCAACGTGTATATATCTGCACTAGTACAAGTACGCTGTAAATGATTGCGAAATATTTGTATCTAGTTATACTTTGTAGTCGAATCAAACTTTGCCATTCACTTTTTAGTACTTGGAGGTTTCTTTGTAATATACCGAACTACCAATCTGCCAAATATATTTTATTTCTCGAGGGCCCCTTTGACACGACCCCGGGTAACCTACTTAGTTGGGTTAAATAACTGCAGACAAATGTTTGGTGTTCTCATGAAGAAAACTATCGCGGGTCATTCCCATCTCAACGAGTGACGCTGGGCCTTGTCGAGACCGGGTAAGAGTCACACGAAAACGTATTCTTTCGGCGTAAAGCGAATATGTTTCAAAGTTAACGACAATTCAAATCAGGACAAAAATCAACCCAGGCTCGTGTAAAGAGGCCTTATAGAGTGCGACTAGTGTAAGATTTTGCAGATAGGTATCAAATCATCGAATAAGTTACTCTCACCTGACTTGGGATAGGAAGCAATGAAGACGTCATCTGGTCTTGTCCGGAGGTTCGTGATGAAGTCGCTTAGTAGCTGAGGATCAGATGTGAAATACGCTGGAATTTTCAAGCCCAAGATTTCACGTAAATTTCCTGTCGTCCAGTCGCCTTCTCTTACTTCAGTGACTTCAGAACTCGTCATGATCAGCAGAGCGCACGGCAATGATAACGGGTCACGTAACATGAATCAGTGCTTCACATCGTTCTGTCTAACAGCCAATACAAGACGACCGCTGACGTGTATTGTGATACAGACAGCGAGGGCGCAAAACTAATTTTAGTGTGTTCTATGATTGTTTGTTTGTTTGTTTTCTTTTTTAAGGATTATTATCACAAATGAACGAAATAATATTTTTCTCAACGAAATCAATAAAACGAAAAATCAATAAAACTTACTCATACCCTGTGTATCCGTTGTAGTTTCTGGCGATTGTTGGATCTACTTTTATTACATTGGTAAAATCTGTACAGACATTGATTCCACGGATCCAGTACCATCCAGGTATCCCAGTTACCCTGCTCACAGGGTCTAGTCTTTTTTAAGGATTATTATCACAAATGAACGAAATAATAACCCATATTTTTCCCTGTGGATGACAATGAAAACGAAATGGTCGTCATCATATAGCTGCAAGAATTTGGAGAAAAAAATTTGCTCCGTGCCCAACAAAAGGCTTGCTAACTTGGTAGTAGCGCCAACTTGCAACTGGTGGGCACGAGTTGCATCACCTCGAAGTATGATCGAAGGCTGATATTTTAAGGCTTCTTTCTTTGCAATCTCTCATCAATGAGAATAATTTTGTCATTTAAAATCATGCGCAGGTCGCTGAAAATCTGATTTATTTCGGCAATTGGTAACTTCTATTCAAAATCATCGTACGAGTTTTGGAAACAAGGCAACAATAGCTGGCTTCAAATTTAAAATATCCTCAATGAATTCAACAATCAATCAGACAGACGCAACGCAACGCAAAAAAATCAGTGACACACTTACCCGCGGTCAGTTGTGCAGCACTCTTTTATTCAGTTACATGGTTTGATATCATCTTTGATCAATAACACACACACAGAGCACTATGGAACCTACGTGTTAAATGAAAGAAACTTCCTAAGAAAAAAAACACTTATTGTCCAGTAGAGATCCAGGCTGCCTCTCGTCGATTGTATTTTTTTTGGTCATTCAGCCTTTCCTTCTCCTTTTTGCAGTTATAGCTAACCTCAGGATGTAATCCTTATTGAGTGATTGAAATCTCGGGCTTAAAGTGAGGTTTCGTGCGACACTAGGATTTAAAAGACTTCTACCCAGTCACGTGACCTGACAGAGTAAGTATATATTTTAATTTCCTTCTTTGTCTCAGTCGATAAATTTACGTAGCGTCTTACAACCGAACATCCACTACGTAGAGATTACCTATGAAAATCCAATTATAACTCAAAATCAAACTCCAATCCAGTTCCTTCTATTTTTGACAACACCTCCTTCTCAAATCTCTCATTCAACTCTGGAGTAAAATAATTCTTCCAGTCTCCGACCACGCCCTTCCGAAGAATCGAGGTTTGGCTTTCATTGACGTGCACCATGTATCTCGATAAATCTTTTGTCATCCCATTGAAACTGCACTGTTCAGCAATACGATTAATGATATTCTCTGAAAGCGGCTTGTTAAGGAAGTTGGCGGTCAATCGAACTTGTGAAGGTAGATCCTGAATAAAATATTCATTATGATTTAAAATCTGTTCTCAGGGCTGTTTATTAACCTTTTGCTGTTCATTTACGCAAAATGTACATTTATTTACGTCAACAGTTGAAACTATAAGACAAATATACATTCATTAGCACTTCCATGAACTTCATGAACGCGAACGAACTTTCAATAACGCTATTTGCATGTGTATTAACCTTCAATAGCATTAACGGATGAACAATTGTACCTTTGGACTCTCACGATGGGAGTCCGCACTCAATTGCTACACTTCAGGTCCTGCAGAGAAACATAGGCACTATCACGGCTGCTAAATGTGGAGAGTGGTACAGATTTATGCAAACGTACATTCCAAGATGTTTAATTAAGGAAGAAATTGAAGGATAATTACAAAACATTACATTTATATGCACTGTAATAGAACACTTTTGAAATTTCTTTTTCCTCAGTTGATTGTTATTACTACACACGTTTGTCAGTTCACGTTAATGATTGACCATTTTGAATAAACGATTGTAAGAAGGTGCAATTGATTGTGCGTCTCTAGGCAAATTATATTATTGTATGTCTCTTATATGCAATTGATTGTCATACTATGCAATTGATTTTCTATCAGTGTTAATGATCTACCACTGCGCGAGATTGAAAGTATATTTGTTATGTTTGATTGCCCAAAGGTGTAATTGTTCATCCGTTGATGCCATTGAATGTTAATACATTTGCAAATAGCGTTGTTGAAAATTCGTTCGCGCTAATGAAGTTCATGGAAGTGCTAATGAATGTATATTTGCCGTATAGTTTCAACTGTTGTCGTAAATGAATATACTTTTTGCGTAAATGAACAGCAAAAGGTGTACGTCCGTATGGTATTTACGCACCCGTCGGCATTTTAAAGTCTTCTGTGATCTATTTCTGACAGCCTCACGGCAACATCTAATTTATTTGCTTCACTTTTTGTTTTACTAACAAACCTTTTTGAGATCTTCATATTTTAGAAACAAGACGTTGGGATCATCTTTGTGCTTCCACCAGCCCGGAACATGGTCATTCCATTTGTTCCAACCAACTGTTAATGATATGCAATACAACACTATAAGAACGAGCCTGATTTGTTGAGGCGAAAGAAAGTGTGATGTTTTAATCTATCAGTTTACGTTAAATTCTAACAAAGTGCACCAACAAGCTCCAAAAGCGTTGTCTTAAATAACAATCTCAGAGACCAGTTGAGGATGGAGAGCGTCTAATCTTCGTTCCACTCAACTATACCTCCCTTGTACATGGGAAAAAATCAGGTCAAGAAAATTTGTTTCAAATTTCTCTATGATAGCCTCCATGTAGTTCATTGGGGCCTCGTCGTTATTTATCGTCGGGATATGGGGAAGGGGGGGGGTTTGCAGGATTTTGGTTGTGTCATTAAAATTGATCTGCCCATACGGCGAGGTTATATCCTTATCATCCCCCACCCCTCTCATTGGCAATTAGTTAGCAGTCAAACTTCTCTAAGCCCCACCTTTATACTATTTTGGCGACGACTGTTCCCCCCTCTGTTCCCTCTGAAAACCATGTGGTCCCCCATATCTTCGTCCCCAATCTCCCCTCAACCCACCACTAAGGCGATATAAAGTGACCGACCTGATAAATCTTACCATTTCCGTCGATGAACAACTTGGAAAAAAATTCCCATGGCCCGTTGTAGCCATTTCCAGATGACTTCAGGCTCACCGTAAAATGGAAATATGAAACTGCAACATCCTTTGGATTACGGGCAATGTAAATATATTTACATTTGGTGCCGTCGCTTGAACCTTTAGGAATGATGCTGTAAGGAAGGTGGGACTTTATAAGGCGAGGGCTGGGAACCTTGGCGATGTCCGCAAACTCTCCCAATATGGGACTTGTTGAAAATTCTAGGAATGGAACTCGTTCAAAAATATTTTTACTTGTGGTCTCCCCGTTGTTATAGATTTGCCAGATAATTTCAAGTTGTCCCTGAAGAAAAAGACGGCAATTTTGAAAATTTGCGTTCGTTGTTGATCTGATTTATTGATTTACTAATTAATTTAATTAATTAATTAATTAGGCAAGTCTTGTCAAAAAATTAGGTGACCCAAACTGCACGAATTTATATCAGTTCGACCAATCCACTAAGGTAGGATTCTTATGTACTGCTGGAACCCTCTGCAATTTCCTTAACAGTTCGGTGATACTCATTTTACTTTGTTCTGAAGCAACCGAAGAGGGGTCGGAATCTTGAATCCTCGAATCTGATTGGTTAATCACACGCTCGTAATCAGTCTAGCTCTTTAAAAATCGGACAACGATCCAGTTTTTTCCGCGCCATTCGCAAAAATTGTAAAAAAGGCAGACCCTTGTAGTGTTGTAGTTGTGCCTTCCGTTGTAGTTATGTCATCACACCTAAAAGTCAATAGAATGCAGTTTTATTTCTTCCAATCCATGTGCGTTGTGATCGTGTCTTCTGCGTATCACTTCCCAGCTAGGGGAAAGAAGCAATGCAAAAGTGTAAGAAGATTGTAAAGATTTCCTGGGTAAATTCTGTGAAATTCATCATTTTAGTGGAACATATCCTAATGACTTGCCGTAGCCAACTTTACTCCGATTTTCCATTTGATCACTGTGTTAATTTGTTATAAATGGGGTAAATTATGACAAATTCACCCACGAGTGCAATATGTCCTACAAATAGTTAGAAACAGTACTGAAAAAAGAACACAAAACATCAACAACAACAAATACATTGTATATATTAATACTCCATAGTTAAGGAACCCATGTGTTACATCTTTACCAGCGACATCCTATCTTCAACATTAACGTCCATTCTTCTGCGATTACAAGAGAACTGATTTTATTTAAACGCGAGAGACTTTGAGAAGGTCCCAGGATAAAATAGACCGACGAAGCGTCGTCACTGATTATTCACCCCTGTGTCTCGGTCTGTAGTTTTTGTTTAGGTAATTGAAAGATGGGATGGAAAGCGAGCATGCCTCAAGCATGCTCGCATACATGCCTCAGGCATGTATGTTGTTAGAAGTAAATTTTCTAACACTCGTCGTTTGATAGGTTGATTCTTCTTTATTCTCTTTCTTCACAAATTGATACAACGGGGACTAGCTTCTACATGACAGGGAAAACTAGAGTCCCCGCTTATAAAGGTGACACTGCGGATGACATTTCTAAGCCGTCAATCTTCTTGTGTCGTCATCGTAACATCTCAACTAGCGAATCACGCCAGTAACTAACGTCGTAATTTCTCCCAGTCGGTTGTGTTAAATGTAAGATTTTGGAAGTATCTGGTTCGCAATGACCAAGCGTTTTGGCAAAGTTTGAAAGTTAAACCTTTTTTATATTTTCACAAACCTGACTTGGGGTAAGTAACCACGAACACATCTTCAGCTCTCGTTTGGAAATTGGAGATGACGTCGAACAGTAACTTAGGGTTGGGAGTGAAAAATGTTGGAATTTTCATGCCTAAAACATCAAAATACTTCGCCGATGTCCACTCATTTACTTTCACTTGGAAAACAGGCAAACTTTCCATTCCCGTTGTGTAAGCGATGCGATTATATGATTCAACAGCAATTGGCCTCTGATATGGCTACGAAGGTTACGTGACTGTGTTGAAAGCAGGGTAAATTTACCTTAGTCACCCAAACTGTCAATCACTGAGAAATGTTTGGCCATCCAGGTGTTAGTTACTGATACCTGGAGAGCTAAACAATAGCCTTGTTCCAAGAGTTGGACAGTCACGCGCAAAGTCGCGTGATCATAATGTGAGCCGAGACTAAGCTTTGACAGCGTGGCAGACTAGATTATCGATTGAAGGATCAGTCACGCAAAACAAAAACGATGAGGCGTTTTACGCCGTGGGGGAAGGGGAGTGGATTGGCCCCATCGTTTTCCAAATGATCCTCGCAAGAGAGCTGTAATTTAGGCAACAGCGTAAGTTGGCACGAGAGAAAAACAAGGAAGACAGCAGCGTGGTACGAGAGAGTTTGCCCTTCAAAGATCAAACATCAGCTAACGCAGTTAAGAAGCAAATTCGTGATCTCAGTCACAAGATTGGCCGGCTACACTACAACCCGTGTTTATCAGCAGAAGATTGGAACTACACTTCAAGCCCAGAGAAATCAAGTCTCCAATCATAAATGCGATCTGTAAACACTTTTCGGCAGCCCATGGGGATACAAGCCTCCGCAAAGAAAGCCAATTCCGCATTCTAATGAAATAAATTATGTTAAAATTTTTCAAAACCACGGCGGCGACGGCCACGAGAATGTAGCGAAACCAAAGATCTAATGACCGGAGCAATAACACAACACGTGCGTTTTAAAATTTTCTACATTTCTTAGCCGTCCCATTGAGAACAAAAACGTGAATTCACTATTTTTTTGGTTTACGTCCGCTAGGCAAGAAAACCGCGACAGCCTTGAATATAGTCTCGTTTTCACCTTTCAACACGACATTCACATATTATGCAGAAGGGAAGATGTCGTATCATCAGAAACGGTTAATGCATCGAGCTACTGGCGAAATTCTGAACCATAACCAGTGGAAACAAATAGTAGCCAATGCAATCTGATTGGTGAAAGCGACACGTGTCCTGCATCAACTGATTGGTGAAAGACCTCCACTTTTCAAGCCTCAGATGATGTTTTTGTGAGAATAAATGAATAAATAACTCAAAAACAATCATCTCTATAAATACAGTCATTAGAGCATTGCAGAAAATGGTATGTCACAATTCAAAGTCAAATGCTAATCCAGATCCTTTCAATTTCGCTAATACTTCCTTTTCAAATCTCTGGTTTAACTCTGGGGTGAAGTGTTCCTTCCAGCTACCAACCGCACCCTTGCAAAGAAACTTCGGTCCCTCTATCTTGTCTCCCAACGTGAAGCTTTGAACGTTCTTCATCATTCCTTTGAAGGTGCACTGTTCAGTTATTAGACTAATAACTTCTTCTGACAGCGGCTTATTGAGAAATTTGGAAATCATGCGAACGTTGGACTGAAGATCCTAAAAAAATAAATCATAATAATAATAATAATGATATAGAGACTCATTTATTTGGCTCAACAATACTTTGCAGGGGACTTTGCATTGAGTAGATTACAATTTTTGAAAGAGAATTTTGCAGGTTCCCTCAATTTTGGAATTTTTTGGAAACAAAACCAGACCAAAACACTGGGAGCTACGTTCCCTACACTTTGTGAGAAGTGCGTAAACTCATGGATGTCTCCCGCAAACCAGTACAGAGGAGATACAGGAGATGGGGCCTACGGTGTTTCGTCTTTACCCGAGAAGCTTAAGACGTCTAACGCGATCTGAAGATTTCATAGCTAGCAAAGACAGCACGTCCTATTCAGTTATTTTTAGACCCTGACTGTTGATTCGGTCTGGGGCAATAATATTTTCCTCTTTTACTCGCACAGACTCTAAATGACATGAACTTAACTATGAGCACGATTAGCCCCTGAGCCCACATAGTTCTTGCCAGTCAGACACATTTGAACAAAATCTTAACTCTACAAAGAAAGAGCACTATGCTTCATATACACTGACAGAGCCCTGCGCTTCATATACACTGACAGAAACTATCATTCTGTTTCTCTCTTTATCGACGCTGATGTTTTACCTATAAACTTTCTATACTATGAAGTCATTATTATCTTATTTCATGCTTGACGTGGCTAATATTTGAGACTACGAAAACTTCCCCCTTTTCCGGGTAAATTCCGTGGCGCGAGTCAAAGAAAAAAAAAATAGAAACGGCGAAGAAAAAAAATTGATGTTAGCGCACCGTGCGGAACTCTGGGACTGAGGCGCACATAAAAGTAGTACACGCCTTTTACGTGCGCCTGAGTCCCAGATTTCCGTGCGGCGCGATAACATCACATTTTTTTTCAGTGATTTTTTTTGTTTTTGACTCGCTTTTTTGACCACTAATAATTGTGTTCCATCTAACATCTTGCAGGAATTCACCAACGCATTGGACGCAAACATTCATTCTCATTCTCACTCTCGTAACACGCGATATTCCTCCCCAAAAAATGAACTTGTCAAAAAATAAAAAAATGTCTTATCTACCATGAAAATCAAGCTGTGGAATGAGTGACCATTCTGCCTAGGAGACCATCCAAGAAAACCTTTTTGGACAAAACTCCATGATATTTTGTTTAGCATCCTGGAAAACAAAGTCTATAACTTAAATACTAAAATTCTAACACTGAGGTGAATAGTGATACAATCGAACCTGTATTAAGCGGTACTGTACTAAGCGGTCACTCCGTATTTCGCGGTATGTTTTCAAAGTCCCTAAAATGTTTCCTTTACCTACTGTCATTGTACTGTAAGTAAAATTTAATCCTGTTTATCCCCTGAAATCGATGTTAGTAGTACGTTTTAGCGAGTTTTTGTACATTAAGTGATCAATCATGGCATAGAATGATGTTTTCATCGTTTTCTATTATACCCCTATATTGGGGAAGTTGTATCAAGCGGTCATGTATTATGCATTTCTCCGCCATCCCCCGGATGATGGCTTAAAACTGGTTGGAATGTTTTAGTAAATACAAAAATAGTGGATAGCGTTGAGAGTGCACTCCGATTATCCTTTGTTATTAATTAAAATTTTAACTCTAAATGTTGTATTTTCTAGTGTCCTGATTGGTTCACCTTACTCCGGTTATCAGAACATATTCAGAATCACATTACATGGAAATGCATTACGCCAATTTTGCGGAGCTAAAAAAAAAATCTATTTATGAAACCGTTCAGGATCATCACCTGATATTTTCCTTTTCGACATATTTCTTGGTAGTAAAATTTGTTTAATATTTTAGTAGTTCACACAACTACTTAAGATTAAACATGACCCGCGTTAGACTAAATGTAGCTATTTACTGGTCAGCCAATGTAATATTGATTATCTGAAAGTGTAAATAAAAAAGTGTGTCAATGAGAACAGATGTAAGGTTAAGGACTCTGTGGTAAGCATACAGAAGTAAGAGGGAAATTTTCATACCTTCTGCAGGTCTTCATATTTAAGGAACAGAACGTTAGGATCATGTCTGTGCTTCCACCATCCAAGAACATGATCACTCCAGTTGTTGTAAACTGCTGAATAAAGGGAATTTATTTGCCTGATAAGCACTCAAGCTGAAGGGCAAAACAGATGTTTTACACGTACTGACAATACTGAACATAGTTCCAGCGAGGAGCAAAGGATTTCGTTAACTACCTGATTCACGGAATAACTAGTATTAATTAAGGAAAAAGAAAAGGAAAATAAAAAAGTTTATCAAACTGATAGGCTGCAGTGCTGGCTTATTATTTGGGCGAGTTACCGTTAAGAACCTTGTGATTTTATATTTAACCGGCAATGTTTGATTCTGGAAGTAAAAGCGGCGATAGGGGGGAGGAGGCTGTGAAAGGCCTACCATGACCAAGGTTCTCCTCTGTGGTCGAAATAAACGCAATTTGAAAACATTTCATGTACTTACTTTTACCCTCGATAAATAGTTTCGCATAAAATTCCCATGGTGCATTCATTCCGTTTGTGCCAAAGCTACCCATAAATTTGTAGCTTGAGACTGCAGCATCCTTGGGGTTGCGAGCGACGTAGATATATTTACAGGTTGTCTTGGCCTCGTCTGTACTCTTAGGAATCGCATCATAAGACAGGTGGCTCTTAAATAGACGAGGGCTCGGCATACTTTTAATATCAAGATGAGTTGATTCTGGTAGTAAAGCTTTTTCTATGTACAAGATGCGATCTCCAAGAACTTTATGACTGATTTCACCATCGTGGTAAATCTGCCAGACAATTTCTTGAACCCAAGTGGTCCCTTAAATTAAAAAATACATCGAGACAATTGTGTCGCCAGCAACGTCGGGTTTAAGATTATTCACAAAAGCTCTGGGCAATATTCGTTTAGAATCCCATACTTCATTGCGTACGCAATGCTTGGATAAATGAAAACAAAGGCAAAAGCGATAAGATACTTTTGAGAATGCAGCTCAGCAAGAATAGTATGGGATTATCCGAAAATCTTTCCAAGCTCCGAGTCATACACTATTAAAAATTAGCTCACCTGACTTAGGGTAACTGACAATAAATACATCATCAGGTTTCGTCTGAAAATTAGTGATGAAGTCGCACAGCAACTCAGGACCTTGAGAGCCATACACAAAAAACGCTGGAATTCTAAAGCCTAGGATTTCAATCATTTCATTGGAGGTCCATTCCCCCTCACGTTCCTGAATGATCGGGTAAGACGCCATACTGTTCAGGAATTATGCTGAAACTGAGCTTCGAAAAATTTCGAAACGCGAAGGTGTCATTTGTTCGACACTTCAGAAAAATTTCCGTCATAACACCGCACTTCATTATGCATGCAGTTCTTTAATGAAAAACGATGGCTCCCCACATGGAGTAAGGTATTGTTTTAGAAAAGGCAGTATTCTTCCTTTAACTAAGTGCAGGTGGGGTCGCTAGTTTTATTAATGAGCCACGCGAACATTCAAAATCCATCGAAGCAAATTTTATACGTTGTAGAATTTAAGGAAGACGCTTGATTAGTGTACTGATTCGCAATAACATTTATGCTATTTTATTTATTTATTCATTTGCCACCAAACATCATTAATCATGTAATTTAAAGGGAGGCTATCAAAATTACTAAAGGATTGAAATATTTCACTTATTTACATATCTGACAACAACTAAAGTCTGAACGGGGATAGGAAGAAGGTAGATGCTTATAGAATTTGGGTCTCTCAGACGAGAAATCATCTTATTAAGATAAGCACTAGTCTGCATTGCACTTGTGATGAACTCATATGAAACTGATTACAAAAATAAATTAATCACAACGAATTATGTCGCGCGCTTTTGAAAGAGTGTCCATGAGGGAAACATGTGGAGCCTGAAATTTAACCGCAATTACCCCACAGCACATGCGAATAATAAACAAACTGGGCTGCTAATAGCTAAATTGTTTTGAGATTTTTTAAAATTTTAATAAGAGTTGAGTAATGCAACGTGGGTCTATTAAATGACTATGGATTATCCAGAGACGCATCTTAGAAATACGTCATTTCTTTTTCTTAATTATTCAGTATTCTACTTAATGGTCAGAGAATTTTCGTGACAGACGCGCGATTCATGTGGGCGCGAGTGATTTTATGTTGTTTGCTCTCGTCAGAATTGCATACTTACATCACTATCAGTAACTGCTCTCATTATCATTTTACCGATTTTATTTTTCGTAAGAGAACGCGCTGCGTGATAAGACCAAACAACGGCAGCGAAGGAGACTAAACTGAGAGCGTGATAGTCCCAAAGGTAAACAGTTGTTGACGCCATAGGTTTTTTTTAGCAATGAAGATGTCATCCGGTCTTGTCCGGAGGTTCGTGATGAAGTCACTTAGTAGCTTAGGATCAGATGTGAAATACGCTGGAATTTTCAAGCCCAAGATTTGACGGAAATTTCCTGTCGTCCAGTCGCCTTCTCTTACTTCAGTGACTTCAGAACTCGTCATGATCAGCAGAGCGCACGGTAATAATAACGGGTCACGTACCATGAATCAGTGCTGCACATCGTTCGGTCTAACAGAAAATACAAGACGACCGCTGACGTGTATTGTGATACAGACAGTGAGAGCGCAAAACTAATTTTGGTGTGTTCCATGTTCGTTTGTTCATTTGTTTTCTTTTTTTAGGATTATTATCACAAATGAACGAAATAATAACCCATATTTTTCCCTGTGGATGACAATGAAAACGAAATGATCGTCATCATGGAGCTTCAAGAAATTGCAGCAAAAAATTTGCCTCGTGCCCAACATAAGGCTTGCTAACTTGGTAATAGCGCCAACTTGTAACAGGTCGGCACGAGTTGCATCACCGTCGAAGTGTGTTCGAAGGCTGATATTTTAAGGCTTCTTTCCTTACAATCTCTTACCAGTTAGAATAATTTTGTCATTTAAAATCATACGCAGGTCGCTGAAAATCTGATTTATTTCGGTAATTGGTAACTTCTATTAAAAATCATTGTACGAGTGTTGGAAACAAGGCAACAATAGCTGGCTTCAAATTCAAAATATCATCAACGAATTCAACAATCAATAAGACAGACGCAACGCAAGAAAATCAGTGACACATTTACCTGCGGTCAGCTGTGCAGCACTCTTTTATTCAGTTACATGGTTTGATATCATCTTTGATCAATAACACATCACACAGAGCACTATGGAACCTACGTGTTAAATGAAAGAAACTTCCTAAGAAAAAAAAACACTTATTGTCCGGTAGAGACCCAAGCTGCCTCTCGTCCATTGTATTTTTTTTGGTCATTCAGCCTTTCCTTCTCCTTTTTGCAGTTACATCTAATGTCAGGATGTAATCCTTATTGATTGAAATCCCGAGCTTAAAGTGAGTTTTCGTGCGATACTAGGATTTAAAAGAATGATACCCAGTCACGTGACCTTACGGAGTAAACATATTTTTATTTCCTTCTTTGTCTCAGTCGTAAATTTACGTAGCGTCTTCACAACCGAACATCCACTATGAAGAGATTACCTATGAAAATCCAATTATAACTCAAAATCAAACTCCAATCCAGTTCCTTCTATTTTTGACAACACCTCCTTCTCAAATCTCTCATTCAACTCTGGAGTAAAATAATTCTTCCAGTCTCCGACCACGCCCTTCCGAAGAATCGAGGTTTGGCCTTCATTGAAGCGCACCGTGTACCTCGATAAATCTTTTGTCATCCCATTGAAACTGCACTGTTCAGCAACACGATTAATGATATCCTCTGAGAGCGGCTTGTTAAGGAAGTTGGCAGTCAATCGAACTTGTGAAGGTAGATCCTGAATAAAATCTACATTATGATTTAAAATCTGTTCTCAGGGCTGTTTATTACACCTTTTGCTGTTCATTTACGCAAAATGTACATTCATTTACGTCAACAGTTGAAACTATACGGCAAGTAAACATTCATTAGCACTTCCATGAACTTCATGAACGCGAACGAACTTTCAACAACGCTATTTGCAAACGTATTAACATTCAATAGCATCAACGGATGAACAATTGCACCTTTGGACAATCAAACATAACAAATATACTTTCAATCTCGCGCAGTGGTTGATCATTAACACCAATAGAAAATCAATTGCCTAGTATGACAATCAAATGCATCTAAGAGACATACAATAATACGATTTTCATAGAGACGCACACTCAATTGCACCTTCATACAATCGTTTATTCAAAATGGTCAATCATTAACGTGAACAGACAAACGTGTGTAGTAATAACAATCAACTAAGGAAAAAGAAATTTCAAAAGTGTTCTATTACAGTGCATTGTAATGTAATGTTTTGTAATTATCCTTCAATTTCTTCATTAATTAAACATCTTGGAATCTACGTTTGCATAAATCAGTACCACTGTCCACATTTAGCAGCCGTGATAGTGCCTATGTTTCTCTGCAGGGCCTGAAGTGTAGCAATTGAGTGCCTAGCGCGATTCCTTGTCGTCTTACCTCAGCTCTGTTGTTCATCTGTTCTTGCTGCTCTGGACGACTTATGTCCGCTTTTATGGCTGCTTTTAAGGCACTTATTGCTTGCTCTACAATGTTAAGAAACGGGCTGTATGGTGGTAGCTTTTTCAGCTCAGAATTAGGACCAGGAATGGCAGGATTGTTGTGGGCTGATGAACCGTCATAAATGAAAATCACATGTTCATTTGGGTCGAGATTTAGACTTGCCTGTGACAGAAAATCATTAAATCTTTGTCCATTCATTCCACCAAGAAATGCCGAGTGAAAAATGAGTCCATTGGTGGGTGAAATTGCCAGTGCTACAGTAACATTTCTCCCTCGCTGACCACATACTTGTCGATATGCCCTCTCTCCCATCCTTGCTCGTCCATGACTTCTTGCCGTCCAAATATTGTACCCACACTCGTCTACAAATATACTTTGATTCACTACAGCATGGCGCATGAACCAGTGGGCATAGTCGACTCTTTTTTGCAGGACATCAGGGCGGTTTCGTTCAACTCGGAGTGCCCTTACCAATTTTACACGATACAACATACCTTCAAGTGTTCTTGCTACTGCACGGTCATGGAGTGTTGGTTTTCTTGGAAGACGCTTTCTCAATTCTTGATTTATCTGTGCTAGTGTTAGCAGGCAATTTTGGTTCAAAATGTCATTCAGGCAATTCCTCATTTCATCATCTACTCGAACATGATTTGCTCCCCCTGGTTGTCTCTCCGCGATCCTTCCCTCTCGCAACTATCGGACAACGCTACTTGCCGTTGATCGGTTCACTCAGACAGTAGCGGCAACCGTCAAATAATCTTCATTAACATCTTCAGAGGCTTGAACAATTCTTAGTCGCTGTTCAAGTAGGATTCTGTTTCTTGGTGGCATGATTTTCTTCGGTTATTTGTGTCTCCAAAGCGTCTACTTGTTCATACAGCGTACACTGTTTCTTACAGCGTACTGTACATGTAAAATGTTCTTCATTTTTTATCTGCTTCAGCAAAATATTATGCAAAAAAAAAACCAGGTGAATGATAATGTACATACTCTTGTATTTTTTTTCAGTATTTTAAAATAATGTAACTACGATGATTGATACTTATGAATATTTTTTCTTCCTATTGTTTAGTATAGGTAATCACATGAGGCCAAGTACTATTAAGGATTAATTGCACGAGAGTTTTCCAAATTTTCCAACAATTAAACCCTAACCCTAAAGCAATTTGGAAAATTTTGAAAACTCAAGTGCAATTAATCCTTAATAGTACGAGGTCTCATGGGATTACTTGTTTATCAATAAAGGGCAAAATTTATACGAAGGAAAATCACGCGCACAGTCTATTCTTATCTGGGAAGCAACGGATTAGCAATGCAACGGATTAGCCAATCATTAACAGGTAATCATGCCCTCTCTTGATTACTAAAAATGCCCTCGATTAAGAAAAAATGCCCTCTCTCTCAACCAATCAGCGCTCAGTAATTTTGCCCTTTATTGATAATTCGAAAAACACCAAGTTTATCAGTTAACGTTAATGATTGACAATTTTGAATAAACGATTGTATAAAGGTGCAATTGATTGTGCGTCTCCAGGCAAATAATATTATTGTATGTCTCTTAGATGCAATTGATTGTCATACTGGCAATTGATTTTCTATCAGTGTTAATGATCAACCACTGCGCGAGATTGAAAGTATATTTGTTATGTTTGATTGTCCATCCGTTGATGCCATTGAATGTTAATACATATGCAAATAGCGTTGTTGAAAGTTCGTTCGCGCTAATGAAGT